AAATAAAGTTTGGAGAGTGGAGGAAGCCCTGAGTGAATGAAGTCCTGAAGCGAATGTATGTTGGTGACATGGCCATGGTCACATTGAGGACTTCAATGCCTCAGCCCCACAGAAAAGGTCAAAGCCTCCCTCCCCCAAGCGTGAGGCTTAAAGACATTGTTAGGATCCTGTACATGCGCTGCTTGGGGTCTTGCATTTTATGTCATCAGGGGGCACTGGTGACTACATGGTTATGCAATCTGTGCCTTAAAAAGCTGGACACGGACCCCCACCCTCTCTCTCTCTCTCTCTCTGTTCTCTGCTCTCTCTCTCTCTGTTCCCTCTCTGCTTCCTGCTCTCTGCTCTGGTCCCACCATCTCTCCCTCCCCCAGGCCTGGCTCTCCCCCCTCCTATCCCCTCCTTCCTTCTGATAAAGCTCTTTGTAACTCTGGTAGTCGTGGCCGTGGCCCGTGACTTTTCCGCTAGTAACCAGCTCGGCCACCAGCGCCGTTTACCTATCAGACATGACAAAGCTTTCCTGTGATCCATGTGCTTAAGACATCCATCATAACTTTCTCCCCTAGACATTTACAGTCTGAAGACTGCTTCCCTGCAGAGACTGTACCTACTAAGATTAGCTAAATCTGCCTCCTTGTTTAGCTGTGCATAATAAGCCTGCCTCCTTGTTTATCTATGTGTAATAAACATGCTGAACCACCAGGATGCTTCAGAGGAGCCCAGTCCACCCAATCCCGGCTTTTATATATATATGTGTGTCTATGTGTTTATCTTTTCTTCATTCCCTGGCTACCCCCGGTCTAGCCAAGTCCTTGGGAACAAGGAAAGAGTCACAATAAAAGAGTTAGAGAGATGGCACAATGATTAAAAGCACTGGCTACTCTTTTATTTATTTATTTTTGGTTTTGTTTGTTCATTTATTTTTTGGGACAGAGCTCCTCTGTGTAGCCTTGACTGTCCTGGAACTTGTTCTGTAAACCAGGCTGGCCTCAAACTCATAGAGCTCCTCCTGCCTCTACCTCCTGAGAGCTGGGATTAAAGGCTTGTGCCACCACCACCTGACTTTATTTTTTTTTTATTTTTTTGAAACAGGATTTCACTATGTAGTCCTGGCGCTCCTGGAGCTCAGTATATAGACCAGGCTGGCCTCAGACTCAGAGACCATCCTGCTTCTGTGCTGGAATTAAAAGGGTTCACCACAACCATGAGACTTTGGGGGCACAGGTATGAAGAGCATTTGCTATGCTTGCAGAGCCCCAGGAGCCAGTTCCCAGCACTTACATGATTGCTCACAACTACCTGTAACTCCAGTTCCAGGGGATCTAACACCCTCTTCTGGTCCCTGAGGGCACCAGGCATGCACATGGTACACAGACATATACACAGACAAACGCCTATACATATCAAATTTTTAAAAATTAAAGAAAATTAAAATGTTAGTGAGGAGCACTCTGACTTTTTGATTGGGAAGTAATGATTAGACCATGTGGCCTACCCTCTATCAGTAAATGTAATTAGGAAGGTAGCACTGTGGGTAAGAGCTCCAGCTATAAATCCAACAGATCAATGTCATCATTTCCCGAGTGATCTCAGGGAATTCCACAAACTGCTCTTTAAAGATAATAATAGCATGTACCTCATCAGATTGCTATGAAGATGAAAGGGGTGATGTGTGAATGGACCCTGTTTCTGTGTGCACGTGTGTCTGTAAACATTTTTAAATGTTAGCTATGTATGGCATTAGGAAAATGAATCTAAAAACATTAGCCCGATTTAATGGGAAAAAGCTTTACCTGTGCTCCTGAGAATCTCTCCCCCAGCTTAATTGAGCTTATGATCTCATAATTGTGTGGCACGCCTCTTCTGATTGCCAAATCATATAATGCTCATACTTCAAAACTCAGAATAGAACTCAGTTTCTCTCTCTTTTTCCTTCCTAAACTTGCCCCATCGCTTAGGTCATTCAATTTAGTACATTTTCTAAAGTAGGATTCATAAGGCTATACTTAATTTTGACTTGTCTTTGAGTCCTTCCGTGTTTTTTTTTTTATGCCTATTTACCTAACTTCTCTATTTTGAAATGACAAGGGATTGTGAGGAAAAGATTGTAGGCATTTTTAAAAATTTATTTATTTATTTATTTATTTATTTATTTATTTGGTTTTTCGAGACAGGGTTTCTCTGTGTAGCTTTGTGCCTTTCCTGGAACTCACTTTGTAGACCAGGCTGGCCTCGAACTCAAAGAGATCCACCTGCCTCTGCCTCCCGGGTGCTGGGATTAAAGGTGTGCGCCACCATCGCCCAGCCATTGTAGGCATTTTTCAGGATAGCTGCCCAGGTACATGATACTCAATGAGTATTTCATGGTTAGACAGATTTTTGTTGTTGTTGTTTTGTTTGTTTGTTTGTTTTTCGAGACAGGGTAGTTTTGGTGCCTGTCCTGGATCTCGCTCTGTAGTCTAGGCTGGCCTCAAACTCACAGAGATCTACCTGGCTCTGCCTCCCAAGTGCTGGGATTAAAGGCGTGTGCCACCGCTGCCCATCGAGACAGCTTTAATTTTTAATTGGTGTTCTCTTAGATTCATGTTCTACCTTTACCTTTACACTTCTTCAATTTTTTTTTTTTTTTTTTTTACACTGGCTTCATTAGGCAACCCAGGCCGGCTTCCAGATCACCTCGCAGCCAAGGCTTGCCAAGAAGGCATGATTCTACAGCTTCCACCTCCCAAGGCCTAGGATCACAGGTGTGAATCATCACACACAGCTGAACATTTTTTCCCCCATGATCCAAGCTATAAGAAGAAAAATAAAGAGAAGGAAGAATAATCCT